AAAAGAAAAGAAAAAATTTTATACATAAAAATTTGAAATATTGTAAATGACAGCAGACAAAGGAAAATCTGGATTTATATACCCAATTGTTCCAATTGGGGTAAAAAATTGGTGATCGCGAGCATGTCGATGGGATCGGGTTGCAGGTGTGGCGGGGGATTAGGGTGCGCGGTGCGGAAAGCCTTGACTGGGACGACGTAGGGAAGAGGATCACGGGAAATATACATAGGGATGGTATCAGTGATTTGGTGTTTTGAGATCTGATCCCAAAACTGACTGTCGGGTTTGAACTTTCTTTTGATGAAGAAGGTGCCAGGAAGTGGATGGATGGGAGAGCGAGGAAATTGGCGGACGAGATTAAAGAACTTCTCCACGTCGAAGTTCTCCGGAGTGCACTGTTTTTCGAATTCGGCCGCGGAGCGGAGGGCGGTGGCGTATTGATGTAGCGAGATGTTGGCTAGCCCCGGTTCTACTTCTATCAATTGCTCCGCGAGTTCTTCGGCGTGGCAGGTTTCGCGACGAATCCGCTTATTCGACTTCTCCCGACGGTGTCGCAATGCCCGTTTCGTTCGTCTATTCGGGATGGCGTTCGTTTGGTTCACTATGTAAAAGAGAGTCAGATGAAAGAGAAATTGAGGAATTGAGGAGATAAGGCAGCTTCACCGAATCAATCGGCGGCTTGCCAGGTTGGAATGTTGTGGAATTGGGGGAGGCAGCTTCACCGAGTTAATCGGCGGCTTGCCAATTTGGAATGTTGGAGTGTTTTAATGAGACAAATATGTAGAGGTCGCGAACCAAACTGCCAGTTACCGCGGGAAAAAATGACAAAGTTGGACTTACTTTTATTGTAGCGGCCGCTGGTGATGGTCGAGAAGTGCAATGGCCAGGCTGGATCGTCGAATCACACGAAAATATAAGAATCGCGCACAGATTCTAACTGACAAAAGAGATTTGTTGACAACTTCGGATGGTCCCGACCGTGAAGCCGTGGAGCGATGAGAAGCGGGAAGAGAGCGATCCACTCTAAGTCGCGGTTTTTAAAGGGTTCCGAAGGGGTAGGAATATCTGAGGGCGTGATGGATTTCCGTGTTGGCTTGTCGAATGATAGTTTAGGAAAATTGTGAATATAGAGGAAGGAGGGGAGCGGTGTTCTGTGAATTGTGGTTGTTTTTATATTTCCAGATTTCCTAGCGAATGATAGAATTAGTTAATAAAAATTTTCCCGCCAGTCCACACCCTCAATCGTTCATTGGTGTGGCCGCCAACGGCCACTAATCGTTTCTTCTTGACTGGCGTTTTTTTTTGTTTCCCCACCAATTTGGGGAGTGTCACCTTCGAACGATCCGACGCGTTTCTTATCCGTTAGGAATTTGCTTTTGTTAATATTAATTTTTATTGGTAGGTGGTAGGTCATAAACTTGTCGGTGCCGACAAGGCTGTTTACCCCAAGAATTTTTTTGATAGTGAGACATATCTCGAGAGAAAATTTTGTTTATTTAGGGTTTCTTTAGATCGTTCGAAGTGCTCCGTTTATAGGTTAGCAGCCATTGTTTTTTTTCTTCCCGAAAGAGAAGAATTCGTGAAGTCCCCCGGACGTAACAGAGAATTTAAAAAAATATTAAGATTTAAAAAAAAAGTGCAAAGACGAATATAAAAAAAAGAGGAAGAAATATAAAGAATGGTATAAAACATAAAAAAATATAAGGAAGAAGAAGAGTTAAAGATATAAAATATAAGCAATGAAAAGGAATGAAGTAATATCGTTACCAATCCGTTATTTAAAAAAAATGACATTATAAATAATGCGTTATTTCCTAAACTTGAATAATACATATATGAATATATTAGATTACGTTTAAATAACTTTTGTCATACAATATAATTGTCACGCAATATTTTATAAAAATGAAACACTGTAATGTGAAATATTTTTTTATATATTTTACTTGTTTACAAAAACTTATTTTTACTTTAATATGTCGAGTCTTAACAAACTAGTTTGCAAATATATAAATAGTAAGTCTAGATTAAAGAAGATCTTTATTTATATATCTTATTGTTATATATATATATATATATATATATAACAATACATATTGATATTGTTATAATATTAAATATCTTTTATAAATTTGCACAATCTATTTTGTAAAAAATTAAAAAGAATTCTATATTATGACTATTTTTGTAATAAACTAATAAAAATTGTAATAAACTAATAAAAAATGAAAAATTAATAACTGTAATATATAAATGTATAAATATATAAATTTGAATAAGAGATTATAGTCAGAGTAAAACACATTTTTATAATAATCCATAAAAAAATCTATGACATATTTTTTCTTAGTTTCTATATATCGTCTTATATCTAACTTAAGTATATTTACGAATATATCGTTGTATTATACATGGGATACAGTGAAATTGTGTGACATATTTTCATAAGTAATATTATAAATATATAATGATATATTACAATATTACACTAATTAAGTATTCAAATTTCAAATTTCTAACAGAAACAGATGAATGTGCGCAATCTAATTATTTTATAATTTATTTTATATAAGCGAATAAATTTCAATAATGCGCAAATATATGGTTTGCCAGATATATTAATTATTTACTTGCAAATAGTATAGTATCTTTAATATAGTATCTATCTAAAGAATTTGTAATTAAACGTTTTGAAGTTTTACATTTTTCAGATAGGATACGTCATAACATCCAAATGTTAATTCTTAAAATTAAAAAGTAGCACTTTCCTTCCTTTGCATCGGTCATTAAAAATATAATTTATTTTTGAAAAATAATTTATATATTTTTTATATATAAATATAAAAAAGTATGTAAACTTAATTATATTGCATGTAAATTTAAATTTACTATCGTATAACTTGCTTTTATTCTCTTTTTTATCTTTATAAGAAAAATTAAAGAAAGTTAAAATATTTGCATTTTAAGTTTTTG